TAAGAAGGATAGGCGTTGTACTGTGAACCTTGCTGAGACATAAAGTGTTGTTGGGGGAGACCTGTAGCGAATCCAGGTCCATAGGAAGCATGAGCGGACATATGACCGGGCATTTGCAGGTTCTGCCCAAGCTGGTATGCCACAGCTGAGGTGGATGCGCCTGACAGAGAGCGTGGTACTTGCGGGTTCATCGGAGTGTTGTCGTTTGCGCCGTAGTTGGGCAATGCACCTGTCATTGAGCCCATATTAAGTGGTGAAGTGCCGTGTTCTGAGGACTGATAGGTTCCGTTCGCGTGCGTTGATGAGCGATGGTCGGGTCGCAATTGACCTTGGGGTAGACTGCTAAGTTGAGAGTAGAACGGATCGTTGCTGTCGGGAGATTTGAGAGACGTGGGAAACGAATTCGAATTGTTTCCGTCACGCGCGAGACTGGCTGTCGTGTTGTCCATGGTATGAGACCGTGGACCAGGAGGTAGGTCGCCCATGTGTGGCTCGTAAACGACAGGAAGTGGCACCCACTGTTGGACCCAAACGAAAGACATGTTAGTCCATGTTACAACTAATACAACGAGTGCTAGAAAAACGAATGTGTAAAGGCCCGACTCAACCAAATTGTCCGAACATAGGAGAATACAACGTACCTAATTCTATATCAACGTATCCTTGAAGGGATGTGGCAAGCCGGAAAGGACGATACCCGAAAGTAAGTCGCTTCGCAGGAGAGACGACGATCAAGGTTTGCCAATGGGTAAGGGAGGCTATGAGGTGATCGCGTGTAAAAAAAGATGCCGGCAGTAGGAGAAACCGTTTGAGGGAAGATGAACGGCTTCGGTTGATGTACTACCTGGAGAAGGAGCTCGCTTAAGGCGGAACGAAGATGATGGTCAGAATTACACGACCACTCAGACGGCAGAAGCGAGCTCTCAAAGCCTTATGAGGTTGGGGACGGCGCAACGGCAGGGTCCGCAATGGGCAAGCGTACGTGCGGCAGATAGTAGGAGCTAGGGTCGCAGAGATGGGCTCATTGACTAGCTTAGTAGAAACGGGAAGGCCGCCAAAGGGTTCTCGCGAGCTTTCTGCTTCACTCGCCGCTGGCCGCAGCAACTAGCAGCAGCCTGATTGGCTGTCGGTAGGCTGCCCGTGGCTGACAGGATTCGATGTGGAGTTACAGGGTCTGAACCGATGCTTTGGAGGCGAAATGATCACCAAAAGCCCAGCAAGGAGAGGATTGGGTGCCTGAGTCAAGGGGATGTAGAAAACAAGTGTTGCGGACGAGGTATATCATCGGACGTGGCGAGTGATACCGTTTCTAGAATGCCATGGGCCGATGGCGCTGATCCTAGACTATCTTACGAAAGCTTAGCGGGCCCTTCCTAGCAATCTCCGGTAGGCGGAAATTTAGTGTTTGTTCTGTATACCGAAACGCAAGCTGGTGCTGGCGTCAATTTGTCGAGTGAAAACCTGCAGTAGAAGAAAGTATTGGACTACGGAAGTGCTGGAAGACCATGGTACCGGGGTGTCTGCTAGCACCGGCTTGTATAGTGACAGCATCGCCTAGATCAGAATCATGAAGTAATTCGACGCCGTCCATAGGAACGGGCCCAACATGCATGCGAGTTGGCGGACCAATCGAGGAGGCTGTATGGATAGTGGAGCAGGCGCGACATGCACGAACTGAGCCGCCCAGAAGACTCCGGCCCTCTAGGAAGCAGGGTAAAGCCATGGATGCCGCGTGGACGTGATTAGGGCGTCACGATAATGACCAGGCATGGAGCCAGCCCAGGAAGCTGACAGGGGACCCGGTAAAAGCATTTCGCGGCGTTGTTGAGTGCCTTCGTGGCAGGCTGGCTCGGCGGTGGTACTCCCCTGGTGACCCTGCGGCGGGAGTGCGTCGAAACGAGGATGGAAGAAAGATGGAGCGGGCAGCGATGGCTGTGGGACCTATACAGGCCTAGCGCCACAGCGCGACAGTGGGCCTCGACATGACAGCGTTCGCTTCCATGAGCGCGAACACGCCGGCGCAGCCAAAGCTTGACAAGTCTGCACTTGGTTTGGTTCGGCACGCTGCTCGGCAGACGGCTGAAATGAATGGCCCGAAAACCGTTTGCTCAAACATGCAAAGTGGTTCTGGCCTGCGAGTGAGGCCGGTTCGCCACAGTCGGAGTGACCGCTCCATGACAGCCCTACTAGTGATCTCCCGCCACAGCACAGCCACCACACTTGTTCCCGCCTGGTCATGATCGACACCCGGGCGAGCAATGAATCAAACGTCTGTCCCGTCCGCCGGGGTGCAACAATGACGGTGTCGCTACAAGAATAGATCCGCAGATCATGAGCTTATTCGATTCATCTCGACTGACGTCTGCTCACTTGGGGAGTTGTTGTCTTGCTCAGCTGGTAGCTACGAGAGCTGAGATGGGACAGAACTTCGGCCTAATGCAAGATTGCCATGCTAAGATTGCCATGTTCCGTGCAGCCGATACATGCATTTCCGGTCGCAAGCAGCATGGGAAATATTAAGCCTTCGCGATACTGCCCACATTACCGCAGTGGCGCTGGTAGCATCCGTTGCAGGGTCCAGCACAGATCCATCACCATCGAATCAGCGGCCGGTCGCGAACGCGCACGTTGGCACTACCGTACATGGAGCCTCTTCGTATTCAAGAACCCGGCTGGAACCTTGCGGGGCCCAAGTGCGTGGTGCATAGCAGCTCTGTCGCGAGTACACGTCGGATGCAGGCGGTAGGTCCGAATAACGTCGTCCCCGTGGCCACTCGTTACGCGTTGCATCGCGCAGCATGCAGCAACGAAGCGACTGAGGCTGTGAAGGATGATCTTTCGATAATGTGTCTCCTGTGTCAAGAAATCTTGTACCGATAAACTGCCTAGGGCACATGTACCTCGCCCCTGGCGATCCGTCTTCACCCCACATCTCGGGTCTTGCACGTGGTCGGTAAGCGTAGACCCTTGCGACGCAAAAATCAATTGCTCCGTCATGAATAGTCTAACAACAGCTGACACGGCTTGTGTACACAAATCACAACTAGCTTACGGAGATGCACACGTTACTGCAGGGTCATGCATACGATCGCGATCTCTATATTCGCGCGGCCTGCACGGCGACGCAATCTCGAAACTATGTGGTGCCATTTTGCCACCCAAAGTACATTTTCGTAACCAGTGTCGGCGCAAAAAGGTCAGCTTCAGGGGATATGCGCACATGCACCTGCGTTTCAGAACGCTGGAAGATGCAAAGTACACATCGGCTGCCCCGAGATGCTCATGTTCATGCTCACAGCGCGTAGGTGTGCTGCCCGCGCAGTCGACATAAACCACACACCTCTAATGCACGACTCGGAACAAAAGCCAATGAGGGTATAAACCACGGAACCCAATCGGATGTCCCTCCAATAGCAAACTCCCAGTGACATATCGAACGCTTGCACTTGGCCATTCCCCTGTCTGCGCACAGGCTGTGGTTCGCGCTATTCAAGTGAAGCAGTAGCGTGGGGCTGGTTCAGCATATTTGTCAACCCTCCAACAACTAATGGGTATCCAGCAAAAGCTTCAACGGGCTACAAATTCGCTGAGGAACTCTTCGATGTATTGAAAGTAGCGCGGCTCTGCGACGGTGTCGTTGTGGCTTCCGTTTGGTAGCTCCTTCCAGACTTTAGGCGCTTTGCAGACGTCGAACAACTTGGTCATGTGCGAAGGTCTGTCGAACAGTTAGCAAACAAAACCCCACCGGAACACCGTTTTTGTGGGAATGCGCGGCTTACGGGATGATTTCATCCTTGAGACCGCTGAGAAACAGGATAGGTATCTTGGAAATCTTGGGAAGTGTCTCTTCAGTCGGCCAGATCTGGTGGCAGAGCGGAGTTAGGAATCGGGCGGGAGGGAAGGCACTACTCCATGTTAGTGATGGTATGTACAGCCGATTGAAGGTACCCACGTCGGTATGAGTTTCTTGATCGAAGTAAAGGTGTTCTCCAGGATGATGCCTGAGATGTCACCTTCTCTCTGGTTACGAGCAGCCAATCCGACGGCAACTGCACCGCCAATACTTTGACCGTAGACAACAATCTTGGTATCCCGGAGTTCGTGTCGCTGCCGGATGTAATCCAAGCCAGTCTGCGCATCGATCATGAGCCCCTTTTCGTTGGGATTGCCAGAGGATAGACCGTAGCCGCGGTATTGCAACATCAACACATTACACCGGAGTTCGTTCTCGAGTATCTTTGCGATGGGCAGTCGGTAGCCAATGTTGCCAGCGTTGCCGTGGAACATGAGGACCGTTACGTTGCGCGCATGCTGCTTGTTGGCTCGGATGAAGAAGGCGCTCAGAGATTCGCCATCGGGTGTGGGGATAAACAGCTCCTCATAGTCGGTTATGGCGAACTGGGAAGGTCTGGGAACGTTGGTGCGGGCGTCAGGAGGGAAGGCTCGGGGGTATATGATTTCACTGCCAGAGTTAGCCAAACCCAAGATGGGGATTGCAAGGATGACGTACTTTTGTTTGAAGTAGAGGAGACCACTGAGCAGCGCGGCGACACCAGAGGACGCTAGAATCGGCACTTTCAGGTAGGAGATGAAGGTGTCGAGAGCCGAAGCCATGCTCCCTGGTCGCACTTCGGGATCGGTGGGGCGTAGGATTGATCTGGGTTCAGGGGCCGAGCGACTTCGTGGGAACAGCTGCCTAGGTGAGGGAGAGCGAGAAGGAATAGAAGACTCGACCATTCGGAGCGACAGTCGCGACAAGGCAGTTGAGGTTCCAGCGCGCAACCGCCTGAACGCGAGCCCTCGAGGGTGTCGCATGGTGCAGCCGGCCACTAAGACCAGTAGCGTAATGCCAAGGAATATCAGCCGCGTAGAGTCGAGCTGCCTGCACCACCACTATAGCAACAACCCACCCCACAGCTTCTCTCGCCCGCCCCATACGCCGCTCTCACACATCGTCTCCCCGGAACTGCTTTCTGCCTCACCAACCAGCTCACCTCGCAATGATGATGTCAACGGGCATGTTGGGAGAAGGTACATTCGCCGCTGCAAACAGGTCACCTACGGAAGCTCACACCGCGCAGATGGCATTCACGTCGACATGAACCACCTCAAGAAGGGAGAGGTCAAGTAAGATACAATACTTATCAGAGTGCTGCAAGATTACTGACAACCATTGTAGCCTCGGAACATCCATGTTTGTCTTTCCTCGACCGCCTCCTCTCAGTCTCTAACAGTACTCAGCATGGCCATCAACTTCAAGGACGGTGTCATACTAGCCGCCGACAGCAGAACAACGACCGGAGCCTACATCGCGAACCGAGTCACCGACAAGCTCACACAAGTCCACGACACCATCTGGTGTTGCAGATCTGGATCCGCAGCAGACACACAGGCCGTCGCGGACATTGTTCAATACCACCTCGGCATGTACGGTACCACCAACGACGAGCCACCCACGACGCAGACGGCGGCAGCCATCTTCCAAGAACTGTGCTACTCCAACAAGGACCAACTCTCGTGAGTAAGCCGTGGCCGCGCGACCATCAGTCACTGACGTACATGCAGCGCTGGACTCATCATTGCCGGATGGGACCACCGACACGGCGGCCAAGTATACTCGATCCCTCTCGGCGGCTCCCTGCACAAGCAATCATACGCGATTGGTGGCTCGGGTTCGACGTACATCTACGGATACTGCGACGCGAACTGGAAGGAGAACATGAGCGAGGAGGAAGGCATCAAGTTCGTCAAGGGCGCACTCTCAGAAGCCATCAAGTGGGACGGCAGCTCGGGCGGTGTGATTCGCATGGTGGTGCTCACAGGCAAGGGTGCGCAGAGGCATCTATACCTGCCAGACCAGAACTACGAGGGGCCAGGCAAGCAGTAGGACTCGTCATGATATGATACCTGAACGACCTGTATGAAATAAAAGAAAGCAAGTTAGCTAGCAATCTACACAGGAACTTGGGCCACGGGCGTGGGATGGGACCGCAGCCACTGGCCAATCAACTGTCAGCATTGCCCCATTCGTCACTGGCCTTTTCTTGGCTCCTCTCCCTCTGGTTCTGTGCAGCATTTTACGTGGCGCGACGTGCCGAGGTGGCAGAATTACCATCTTGTGATTATTTAGTTGGATGGAACGAGTGCTGAAACAACTCTTGGTGGCTGCACAGTGTCGTCACATGCGTCTGGGACTGTGCAGGTGAATTGCGGCCAGGGTCTCGTTGATCTCGCCAGTCGTTGGTCTGTGACGTCCGGTCCCCACGCCTTTCTCCAACAACACCTCATCACTCACCACGCTGGGCCCCGACTCGGCGCGCATCTTGCCCTTCACCTTGACACGACGCGTGCCGTCCAATTTGCTTTGGGTACGGCAGAGTAGAGCAGGCTCGCACGCGGTATCTGCGCCCCTTTAAGCTGCGTCCAAGTTCGGGCTCTCTACGATAAGGCTCAACAACACGACCGACGCCTCTCACCGATCCACTGCGCCCGCGAACCACGCTCCTTGGTGCACCCAGCACAGCCCTTGTGTCGCGCCTACCTCCATTCCAAGACTATCGTGACCCCAGACACCTGCACCGCCTGGCTTCGCGCGGAATGACTTCGCTTCTGGTGAGCGACTTCGGTGGGAACCACTTTCACACCAACATGTTTGGCGGCGGCAGTACGCACCAGGCGCAAGAGTCTCCTGCCGGCCATCACACGCCCGTACGCCCGTCGCCGTCTTCGAGCGCCAATGCGCCGCGGCCAGTAGCTTCGTCTGCTGATGTTCCCATGGCGGATTCGGGAGCCCCGCAGTCGAGCTCAACACCAAGCCAGCGATCGCAGCAGCACAACAGCTCAGAGCCAAACTCCACCGCACCCGCTGCTGACCAAGCAGTACCGACACCGCCCAGTCCTACTTTCCGCCCCCGCTCGCAGCAGCCGACGCCTTCGGGCACAGACCCCGCCGTCGCAAACACACGAACCGTTCCCCAGCCTTCCCCAGCACAGTCCCTACGATCGCCGGAAGCTTCTCCTACGCGCATCAAAGTTAAGAGCCTGTCACACATCCAGAGTTTTGCCATCGATGAGTCCAGTCCCTTCTCTCAGTCGCGCTCGCTCGCACGGCGGCAGCGACGAGACCCCGCAGAGGTTGGGCCTCAATATGAAATCAGCGAGATGCCTGTCTCAGATATAATCGAAATGGTTGCCGGACTCTTAACCAAGATCACAACAACCAACGATCGGCAGCATGACCATCTACACCGCCAAATTCCCCCATCAGACGGCACAGCGGGCTTGAGTCAACAGACCACCAGCGTCCTGGCCTTCCACGGCAAGAACGTCCCCAGCATCTCAATCCTCAGCTACCTGAGTAGAATTCACAAATACTGCCCGACCACATACGAGGTCTTCTTGAGTTTACTCGTCTACTTCGACAGAATGACAGAGAGGGTAAATGCTGGCCCTATATCTGGTCTTCGCAAGGCTAATGAGCAGTCTGTGGAACACTCAAAGTCTACAATGTCAGCAACTCCGGCCCCGGCAGAAAACGCACGACCTGCATCAGCTTCCGCTCAGGCGGCAACCCCTCCTCCGTCAGGCTCCCTGGGCAAGCCATCGCAAACGCCAGGCGACAATCCCCAGCCGCCTTCCCCACCGCAACAAGATCTTGGCGCGGATGCGTTGAATCTATCTCACTTCTTTGTTGTTGACAGCTTCAACATACATCGTCTCGTCATAGCAGGCGTTACATGCGCCAGCAAATTCTTCTCCGACGTCTTCTACACAAACTCGAGATACGCAAAGGTTAGTGTCAGCCGATACACACATTGAAAATATATGCTAACAGGTTCAAGGTCGGCGGTCTACCCTTGGTTGAATTGAACCACCTGGAGTTGCAATTTCTGCTATTAAACGACTTCCGCCTCGCTGTACCTTTAGAAGAGATGGAGGCGTATGGAACGATGTTGGTCGAGTTCTACGCGCGTGAAGTTGCCGAGCAGCATGAACGAGAGAATAGTGGAAAACAGTAATTTCACGATCGATCCACACAGCGTATCTGCTACGGTTAGTTCGAATGAGCGAAGCCAGCATAGCAGAATTGAACAGAGAAAGGACTGCGGATCAACACCGAACAAACGGGAGGATCCTTCACGTCCAGTTGGAGCTGAGGATACCACTATTGCGCAAACCATATGCCACGGCATATGTTTGACATCCAGAATCTTTGTATTCTGGAATAATTTGAGAAAGGCAGACATGATGCCGAAACCCACGAGGTGACGACTTTGGTCCCAGCATGCGAGCGAATGTTCTTCTTCCTTGGGTGTGTGTGTGCGTAGATTCTGGGATACCAACTGCCTGTCTTTTATTTTCAAGAGAGATTGATGACATTACGACAAAGTCTCATTCATCTGAGCTTCGTTTTCATGCTCTGCCCCTTTTGTATTCTTTGTTTTGATACCTTTTTGTGCACCATTAGGGTGGCGTTTATAGAGGTGCAATTCGAGGACATTGTTTCGATATTTTATGCATTGGTAAACTTTGAGATTGCTGCATGTGGTGATCTGGGTCCTGGTCGCAGCAGCGACTCGAACAACAAAACATTCTCGCGAACCACGGAATAAGTGCCAATGGTACACACGCATGAGGGGTAGCTTAGCCCGCCCCTCCATTCTAGATTCCTACCTTCAACCAGGATGCCAGTCTCACCTACCAAAAAAACAAGAGCGACAGACCCCTCCGTCCCGCCCCCCTGGATGCCAATGCCAAATCGCCGCCGCCGCAAAGCCAAGCTTATCCATGAATCATGCCACCACCACCACACGCAGAATCCAAATTACCCCCGAACACTCCAATCCCTGATCCCTCGCGCCAACCACATTCCACCCGTAAGTTACCTAACCCAGGGGTAACACTCAGACTCTCGGAACAAAATATACCCACGGTGCCACTTTGCTCAGGTAAAATACCTAGGTCATGCACGTACCACTTAGCGCGCCTAGGGAGAAGTAGGTCGTGTCGTGTGTCCCGAGCATAATCTGACGCACAGAGTCCACTCCGCGCGATAAAGCACACATGACACGTGAGACCTGAGATGAGACTAGGCGCGCGCGCCCGCGGAAAAGGACCCTTGATAGCGGTAAGGCGGTAATTGCAGATGAAATCATTTGGGCGGAAGTGCGCTGTGCGGCGGGCGGTGCTTGGTTTGTTTCCTTTTGAACGGGCGTGGGTTTGTGAGTTTGTGAACTTTCCCATCGTCACTCTTTTACAAATCTTTCGGTCTCTTCTTTTGTGTTTTGCGGCTGTCGAGCATCTGGGTTGTTGCTTGTCGTTATTCTTTGTTTCGTTGGGGCCTGCGCATTTGTCATTTCGTACGTGGTTTTGCGATGCTTCGTTCCTCTTCCGCGCCTGCATCGTCGTCGTCCGGTACCTCGTATTCGTCCTCGCTATCGATAACGTCATTCGTACAATATGGATTCCTCGCTGCGCTAGCGTATATACTCGCCGGTGCGCCTTTGTCGTCGTTGCTTACTTCGAATGCGGGTGGCGATACGGTGTCGTCCAGCAGCGTTGGTGCGAGAGGTGGTGGTGATGTAAAAGCCAACTTAGAGAATTTGGTGATTCCGGAGCGGAATTTGAGTTGCGCAGCGCATACATACAAGGGTGTCTATGTCCTGAGTCGGGAGCCGTTGGTGGTGTATATTGAGGGGTTTGTTGGTGAGGAGGAAGGGAAGGAGGTTGTTGCTTTGAGGTACGTCTGTTCTTGGTCGCTACTGCTTCGAGATATCCCAGGGTACAGAAAGGGACCCTGTTTTCTATGGGACTTGCCATGTAATAGTCATGCTGCAAACTTGTAGATGAAGCGAACACAACTAACAGTACAACCACAGTAACCCCCACTTCACCCCCTCAACAGTATGGACCTCCGGCACCGAATCCTTCAAACCCGCGATCCGCAACTCAGAGAAAGCACCCTTACCCCGCAGTCAAACAGTCAAATGCATCGAAGAGCGCGCCCGCGTGTTCCAAGGCTGGCGGCCCTACACTTTCATCGAGAAACTCTGGAGCCAGAGATATGGCGTAGGAGGACACTACACATACCACTACGACTGGAGCACTGCGACCAAGAAAAGCGGGCGCGTGAGTTCCTTCATGGTGTATCTGGAAGCAAATTGTACGGGCGGAGGCACGCATTTCCCGCGCTTGGAGAGGCCTGAGGATAAGAGTTGGTGTCGGTTTATCGAGTGTGGTGAAGATGGGGCCGCGACTGTCTCCGCGGATGGTGTTCGGCAAGAGGGAGGGCCCAAGGAGGATCTTAGCAAAGGCATCATTTTCAAGCCGATTGCGGGGAATGCGGTGTTTTGGGAGAATATGCGGAGTGATGGGACTGGATATGCGGAGAGTTGGCATGCGGGGTTGCCAGTTACGAAGGGCGTCAAGATTGGGCTCAATATCTGGAGTTGGTTGGCTGAGGGGTATGTGCCAGCGGATGAAGATGCTTGAAGACCATTTTGACGAACGGACAAAAGAGGTGGAAGGACAAAGATCAAGCCAGTATACTCGCGTCGCGCTCATCCGGTGTAGAGATGAAAGAGATCAAGCCGCGGAAGAAGCCCTTTATGAATAAGAGCCCTATTCATGATTGGGTAGACCTACAAGTTAATATGACATGGAGTAGCGTCGACGAACGTGTCTTCCGTAGAAAGACACAAACAAGGTCTTCTTCGTGTGGAGCGCATCAATGCATCCTGCTTTCCTCCGCGGTGTACCACTCGAGTCAGACCCGGTGCAGCAAACTTGAGCTGGCGTATCGCTCGCTCCGCAACGTGACACGAGAAGGGCGCAAGGGCAACACTCAAGATGCACCTGCCCCATTGAGGCGCTGAGTTAGCCGCGCGACCATAGCATCCATTCTTCACATCACCTGCAACGACATCTTCCTTTTCCACCAATATCATCAGCATGGCAATTATTCTGCGGGAAGTCTCCGACACCGACATCGCGCGAGGCTGTGAGATCGAGTCTCTAGCTTTCAAAGATAACTCTCTCGGTCCCATCCTCAACCCGGGCCCGTTTCCTCCGGCAGCATCGCAACAAAGAATCCAGCAGATCATCGACATGAGGAAGAAAGACTCTACTGTCCATTTGATGCAGGCTTTCGATGAAAACACTGATCAGATGGTAGCATGGGCGAAATGGCACGTCTTCGAAACTACCGAGGCTGCACTCACTTCATTTCAACCTTTACGTCCTGGTCCCGGGATGAATGTGGAAGCCTGCAAGATTTTCTTTGAGGGAATGGCAGAGCGGAGGAAAGCAATCATGGGAGAGAAGCCGTATCTCTGTAGGTTTGCGTGCTAGTTGTGTCGCAACGTGAACTCACACCGTCTCCATACTAATAAATCTCAGACCTTCAATTGCTATATACACATCCAGATTTCCAGGGCAGAGGTGCAGGAAGTCTCCTCCTAGATTGGGGAAAGCAGCGTGCCAAAGACCTTGGTCTTTCGATCTATCTGGCGTCCACTCCCGTTGGCCATCGCTTTTACCAGAAACACGGTTTTGAAGACGTCGAGATCTTCCGACTGGATTTCACCAGCTTTAATGGGCCCGTTCTTGAACAGCCGCTGATGGTGTGGAAGCCATTCAGGTCGTGAGCAAGCTATTGCGAATAGCATCAGTCGCACCATACGCGCCCTACTGACTTGGAGAATTTATCCCATTCTTAAGATTGCATTTTCATCTATCAAGATGTCCTCGTGTTCCTCCTACTGGTTGCGTTTCCGAAGTCGCATATGTACCGCGCAGCAGCTTGTTTGCTGTGTCACCGTTGATACTCGGGTCGAAAGCCACGCATCTTAGCCCCTCCGGCGTTCTTGATGTTGATTTCGATGATACCCTTTGCGCTACCATCTACCTTTGCATAGCCATGGCTATGTTACAAGCAGCAAAATAAGCGAACATTATTCTTGCACCATGTCACTGTTTACTCCAGCCTTTGAACAGTCTTGTCGATGGTACCAACGAAGGTCACATGTCGTAGGTATTGCGCGGACGGCATTCTTCCGACCACGCCACCTTGGCGAAGGACCATATTCTGCCGAAATTTAGATTAAGGGATGCAATCTCGTGGAAGCACTCGCATGTCCCATGCTTCTTCGCTCAACACCCCTCTCGACATATACTTCTGTCCGAATACCACTAGTCAGACGCTGCGAGTTCGGGATGCATTCACCAGTCACTTCCGGCGAGGGAACCTTTGATCCAGGCCAGGTAGTATCGCAAGGCTACCACGATGCAGCTGATGCGAGCGGAAGCTCTGCTGATGCATCGCCTTTGCAAAGGATACCCAAAGACGACGATGTTAGTCTGAGGACAGAAGCTTTAGACCGTCTGAGATGGAACGTCCTCGCCTCACCATCGACAGTCGAGGTCATCGACCTCAACGAAGCAAGCGAGCTCAACGAAGCAAATGAGCTATGCTGGAGCCTCCTGTTAGCAGACCCCAAGCATCCTCTAGCCGAAGACCCAGTAACCTCACCACCAACTTCCCGCATCCATATCATGCTAGCCATGATCGATCACTGGGAATGCTTGGGTATGATCGATGAGAGTCCACCACCTTTACTCATTCACAACACAGACAGACGAGCTATCACTGTTGAGCAATTTGTCACAGAAGTTTCAGCATATGCGAAAAGCTTGCGAGAGTTGATTGACGAGATTGAGGATGTGAGTTCGGCGGCGGAAAAGGAGAGCCGTTGTCTTTACTATGATTCAGCTGATGGATTGGAGAGCCTGGATAGTGGTGGCATGGAAGATGTCTTTCCTCTTCACTTCATGTCTAGCCGGTCATATTCAGCGGAAGAGTTCAGGAGAGAATGGATGAAAAGAGAAAGGCTGTTCAAAGAACATATGTCTTGCCACCCTACAAATGGTATCCACATCGCGCCAGGGTCGATAGATTTCGCCGAGGCAAGTAGGAACTTCCGCCTCTTTCCTGAAGAGGTTCCTCGTGAGGAGGAGGGCCTCTTGCACACGAGTGCTCTAGACCGCCTACGATGGAACCTACTCGCCCCACCATCTACCGTTCTAATCATCGACTCCAATGAAGAGGGCGAGCCGAGCTGGCGACCAATGCTGGTGGATCCAAAACACCCCCTAGCTGATGAAGCTGTTACCGAAGTACCGCGTTCACGAATGTGTGTAGCATTCGACATGGTCGAAGCTTGGGAGTGCTGGGAGAGGTACGATGACAATCCACCCCCACCGCCTCTGCTCATCGAGAATTCCGATGGGAACGCCATCACTATCGAGCAGTTCATCGTCAAGGTCTCCCGATACGCTCAAAGGTTGCGAGAGACGATTTTCGAATGCGAGGGTCGCGCTCTGTCGGGGTCCGAGGGCGCATGTCTTTGGTTCGATGCGGCATTTGGACCGAAACGGAAGGATGCCGAAGACCCAGATATCTTGTTCCTCGTCGGATTCACGTCCAATTTCTGGTTCTCAAGCAGCCAAATTGAAGCGGACCATGTTCAGAAGGAGAAGAGATTTGTCGATCGATCAAGGTAGAGCGAACTTGACGCTCCGTACTTAGCCCGAATGGCTGCAAAGTAGCGAAAAGGCCTTCCGCAATTGTTGCTCTTCCGACGGATGGTGTGCAAGATCCAAGAGCCATTGTACCGCAGAGTATCAGATTACGGCCCACACTCCATCCGGTAGCCCAATATGACGAACAGTCACTATCGAAGCGGAATGATCCGAAGGGCGCTTATGATGTTTTGCTACTGGAATGGCAAGGTGGATGTGCTGAGAGAATTGGTCGGCCAGATTCAGATCGGCGTTTGGAAGACATTGGGGCCGGTGCGAAGACAGATCTTCAATCGTTAGACAGTCGGTATGCGTTATCAGAGTACTAGGTATGCGTTAGGAACGCTTTAGCAGTAAACAGTGTGGATAGATCAGGTCGAGCGTGACGTGGAAGAATAGTACGACACTCACCGCAAAGATGAACACACCGCAAAGATGAACTCACCGGAACCAAGTCCAGGTGAGCGTCGCTTACAGTCCTTTTCTCAACGACGCGCACAACGGATTGTCGTCGGAAGAACGCATCCGTTTGGTGGCGTCCAGTGAGCGAGCGTGGAACTTTGCTTCTTTTCAATGGAGAACAGAGTACGCCTTGGATTTATTTCCCATCTGTGTTGAAGTCCCGAAATAGTGCATTTTGTTAGAGGAGTGCCATCTATCTGCCCAGACATCTATCATTCACTGGTCACCCTTGTGTTTAACATCTCAATCTGGGAATTTGCGGCCCCACGAATTCCCCATGTCTGATCGACAACCAGAGATAGCCGAAAGTCGATTAGCTAGTCGTGCAGGGGTAGAGGCTAATCTAGAAGGAGCACGTCTACTTCAGATGGCTCTGGTAGACAATGCCATCTATTGTAAATTTAATTGCGATGCTCGTCAATAGCTCCAAGATACGTTCAAAGCTCAATAGCACGTCGTGCCAGAGCTATACAAAGTTCATTTGCCAACTGTGAAAACATGCGCTTGTACTGGATGACTTTTGCTTCTTTCAGGCGGTCGGGGAGGCGCCAAGGCGATCGGGATACCTGTCGGTGAGGCTGGTCGACGAGGCTGTCGTTTCGCTGAGTGCCTCCCGTGCCACTCAAGAAACTTCAAAGATTGCTTCTTTCGGGCGGTCGATGAGATTGACGCTGCTTACCTAGGTAGGTAGGTACGTCCACGGGTGGTGTACCCAGATGGAAAGGCGATTCCTCATCGAGCTTAGTCCAGAAGCCGAGTGGCATGCGGGAGGCGGCAACAACGGCTGCACTCCGCCGTGACACTTACCCCCACCACACCACCCCAGGGTAGATCCGTTACTTACAGCAGCGACTAACACAGATCGCTTCAGAATGCAGCATATTGACCGCTCTCTGGTTACGGATTATCACCATATCCGCTGTACTTCTTTTCCCTGATGAGGCTAGAGGAGCCAGTGCACCCTTAGGAGAATCAGGTACCGAACGTCCGAAACATCGAAGCACGGTTCGCTACAGTGTGTCGTACCTCACCCTACTACCCCAACGCTTCTGACACTATGCAAAAGACAAAGTGGTCTCGTGAAAGCTTGCGCTTGGCACTCAACATGCTCTCAGCAACTGTCGGTCTGGCATTCTTGCACGTTCCATTGGACGATCTCCTGTATCCTCACCGGACTGTATGAGACCAGCGCGAAAAAGAAGCAACAAAGAAGACCTCAGAGCAGAAGAGACACGATGTTCAGCACGTCGAAGATGTGTATATAAGACCTCACATCCTCGACTCCAAGTCTAATCATCAGCTCATCACAACAATCACTACAACAAGCATCTTCACTTCCACAACACCACTCACTCTTACAACTTCCAATCGTTCTTTCGATCCCAACAACAACTTCAAAATGCAGTTCTTCATCACCATCCTCTCCCTGGCTGTCGCCGTCTCCGCTGTTC